TTAACAGCAATTTCCCCATATTTCCAAACAATCCACCATTTCGAGTACGGATTAATGCCGACCGATTTTGTTTGCCGTGTGTCATTTCAAATCGTTCCATATGTGCGTTTGGCATTCCGGGTTGGTGTGTCGATTCACTCTACGCGCTATCTAGCTATTATTGCTTTGATTTGGATCGTTTCGAATTGCGAAGTGCATTCACATATATAATTGCGGTTATTCACGTACCATTCGTTTACTCTTGCTTGCCTGCCTGCCCGCCTTGCTCGCACACTCTCATACTCGTTGCACATCACATCGCAAAGTATGACATAATTCACTTGAAATCGTGCATTCAACGATGTATTATATTTACAATACCAAATTCGATGGGGTAAAGTCATGTTACTGTCAAGATTATATGTTATTGTTTTGATGTCGGGCTGTTGTAGTTTTTCTTTCTTTCTTTCGCTCTCTCTCTCTCTCTCTCTCTCTCTCTCTCTTTGTGATTTTTCATGTTTTTCATGTTTCATATTTCATTGAATGCGTGTCTGGACTCGTTTCCCGGTGCTCGATGGCTTTGAATTCGGTTCGGCTGCTCTAGGGTTTCAAAGAAAGCAAATCAAAACGTTCAAATGTTCAAGTAGTAATTTCCCCGAAACATCACACCGCCCAATGAGCAATGTGTTTTCGTTGCATTTCTGAGTGTAAAAAAAAATTCTCTCTGGCATTTCGTTGATACGACTTTGATTGATGATGTTGATAATGATTTTGCTGTTTTTTTTTCTCTCTCTCCCCTTCTCTTCCAATTCAATTCAATTCATTTTGAGATTTCAAACGAAACGACAACGACGTCGAACACAAAATCATTCATTCCCCTGTTCAGAGTACGCTAAATTTAGATTTTGATGGATAATAAATTAAAAAATATATAGAGAGAGAGAGAGAGGGAGAGAGAGAGAGAGGGAGAGAGAGAGAGAGGGAGAGAGAGAGAGAGAGAGTGAGCGAGAGGCAAATAACATGAAAAAAAATATACACGTCCAGTTGAGTCATGCGATACGCGAATGTACGTGAAAATTACTAATGAAACTGATAAAGATTGATTTACGTAAATATTGTGGGCAAATCCGAAACCAATCGATCTTCATAAATCAAGTGTGTGCAAGTGGCACATAAATTATATTCTCGACTTTCAATTGTTGTTGTTTATTCGCCATCATCGTCATCATTTTCTGTCCTCTTTCTCTCTCTGTGTGCCTCGCATTCTCTCGCTCGTCTGCTCGATCATCATCGTCATTGTTAAAACAGCAAACTGTGTGTGTGTATACTGATTGCCGTTCATTTCGCTCATATATTTGTGCTCTTTTTTTCGTTGTCGTTGTTTAAATGGTGCTGTGTGTGTGTTTTATTATTTGATTTTATAAGTGCCACTTCACGTGTGATTTTTGATTCTTCGCGTTATTGTGCTGTCATTTGTTTGTGTGTGTGTTATACTGCTCGCGCATATCATCGAACAATGTAATTATATATCACAGGAATATGTCATCGTATGTTTCGCTGAGTTGAAAATATATCCGTTTTTTTTCCCGCTTCGCCATTCATTTTCCATTGTCGTGCTGTTCTTTTTATCAAGTCATCAAGGATGTGCCAGTTTATTTCAGTTTTTTTTTCCAGTTGTTTCTGATTGCCTCATTCCTTATTCAATGTGAGAAATTTTTCTGTAAAGCGGGAGGGAAAAAAAGTGGCAAAGTCGAAGAGCAGAGTCGCCAATTGAAATGAGCCGAGTCGAGCCAAGAAATTTCAATAAACTTCTCTCGACCGTTTAGCAGTTCTCGTACAAAGAGTGAAATATTTTACGAGATGTACATGTCAAGTGAAGCCGAGAAAGAGAGAGAGCAAAAAAACGGGAATGAAAAGCGAAAAGCAATGACAGCAACTGAATGCATCTGTTGAGTGGAGAACGATAGAACGGGAGAAGAAACCGATTCGAAGAACCGTCTGTGCATGCATTGCATAATAATTATGGTTTCGCCGACTGCTGCATGCAGAGCGTACATATTCGTTGGCATTGGTACCTGTTGCCCCAAAATGATTAAAATTGAAACACAAGCGAATAGCTCAAGAATGTTGAACATGTATTCGGTGTCTGTTCTCGGCCATTGGCAAAACGTACACAATGGTACAAATGAATTAATACACTGAGTGCCGTTGGCAATGTCAAAAACATCAACATCATTTTCCATCATGGAATTAGACAAAGTGGCAGGGCAGACAAAAAAAAAACACATACACACAAACCAAGATCAGACATATATCGTTGTGAACATGACAAGACCTCGGGGCTCAAGGAAGGAATGCACATCGTCAAAATGTGTCGTAGAAAACAATGAAGCAATGTTCCTTTTTTAGCAAAAATTCTATGCTCTTTCTGCCGTCTAGTCCTTTTCAGGTCATGTGTCATATCACAAAGCACAATATGTCACTTCAACATGTCAGTTTCACATATTCATCATTACATACGAGATTATTGCTTTTCTTTTTCATCCTTTGTCTCCTTGCATATGGTATTCGGGCATTTTCGGGTCGCGCTCTTTCCGGTGTACACACTGAGCGTGAGTGTGTGTGCCTCACTTACAAAGTCGGCGACAATATGGAATTCAAAACCTCTATTAACGCAATGGGGAGGATATAGCGACACATAATATCGTTGATGTTTGATGTGTTTTTGAATACAATCACTCGTTCTGCTCTCCCTCACACACACACACACACACACACACACACACACACGCGAGCGCTGCTCAACCGAAAACCCGAGAAGAATGACACGAAAACAAAGCTGAAAGAAGAGAAGAGAGACGAAAAAAACTAAACCATTGATTATGATTGTTGTTATAACATTTTCATTACGTGTTAAAAATCAGCTGTCAACTCAAGTAATTGGCAACTTAAAAAAAGCGACACTAAATAGAGAGTGAGATAGAGAAAGAGCAAGTGAGATAGAGAAAGAGCAAGTGAGAGGGAAATGAAAGACTGAGTGAGATGCAGTGTGACATGAAGTAAATGTGTGTGATTTGTGTTGGTGTAGTGGCAGCGACCGGCAGCGGTGTTGGAACGGGAATAGAGAAACCGAGAGCGTTTAGTATTCAAGTCGATAAAAATAAGTGACAGTGACACGACGACGCTGTACTTTCGTTAAGGTTGACAAGCTAATGATGTATTATTAACAACCGACCAACAACAAAAAAAGCGAAGCCTTTAATCCAAACCATTCATTCAAATGTTGAACAGGAATCAAACAATAGATTTTTAGGCCACGTAAGTGTTATTCGGTGGATATTTTTGGTCGGTTTGTTCCATTTTTTTCTCTCGTGCTTGTCTGATCTTCCTACCGTGTTTGTTTGGTTGCTCTAATTTTAGAGAGCGTTTCATTTAATTGAAATGAATGAAAGAGCCAAGACTCAATTGGCGTAACGAGATATACACCATTTACCAAAAGTCGATGAGAGTTTTGGTTTTTTTTTATTACCTTCGTTTCCATTCTGGCAAAATTGAAGGGACAGAAAAAATTGCCGCACAATCATTTACCGCCGCACTGCAGCAAGTGAACACACAAAAGCACACGTACATAAGAAAAGGAACAAACGAAACGAATTGCATTGAAATTGACGACAACAACAACGACGACGGCGGCGACGTTCAGATAGACAGGCACTTTTCGGTGAATGTGTCAGAATTGTGTGCTTTTGATGTAGAACGGAAATGGCCATTCATTTAACGTGCATTCATTACAATGAAATTTATGTCTAAATAAATAATAATGAATGGCATTTAATGACGTTTTTTTTTCTTCATTATTCTCTCTTTTGAAGAATTCGTTTTTTAGTCACTTTTATTCTTATGGTCTCGCCTCTTCCTCTTTTCCCTGGTTTTGTCTGTGCGCTCATCTCTCATTCCGTCGCTTTCATCCGCTTCACTCGTTCATTTGGCTCAATTCATAAGGTATGCATTATTTATTCGACATGCCATGTTTTTTTTTGTGTTCGATTCTTCTCACAAATCTTCTTTAATTCTTTCGTACATTGGTTTTTCATTCCAGAGAAAAGAGAGGTGTGTGTGTGTGTGTTTGCTTTGTATGAACTGTTCGTTCATTCTCTCTCTGCCATGCAACTGACGTCAGTGTTCATTTTTAAATGAGGGGTAACACAAGTTATTGGCACAAATGCTATAATCCATTTCGTTTATTACGTAATAATTACGAATGGATTGACAGCGAAAATGAAGCTGAACATTCTTCCACTTGTCATATTTTGACGGGCGCATTTCAAATGCAATAAATATTCAGAGTCGTTCTGTCTCGCTCTCTCTTTCTCTCCCTCAGACACACACACGAGCGTGTATGTGTGCGCGAGCGCGATCGCTCATTCACATAAAATGATTAATGGCTTGTCGGCTAACATTTGCCCGATAAAATCTTCTAGCGCACGGGAAAATAATGAAGTAGCCAACGAAAATGTCGACAGCAATAAATAATTCAATGCGATCGACATGGTGAAGTGAACAAGCCAGTGCCGCGCTGCCGATTTTTTCCCGTTAATTTTGTTGCTGTTGCTGCTGCTGCCCATGCCAATGGCGCATTTCAATCCATTCAAATTAATCGCATGCATTTTCATAGAGTGTAATCGCCTTTAATCAGATTGAATGAATAAATGAGTGAATGAAATGAAAAAAAGCACGCACACACACCAGAGAACTTGTTTAATTAAATTCCCAAGCAAAAGCGAAAGAAAACGATTTAACCTTCAAATCGGGTTATACTCTGCTTCACCGAAAACCTAATTAATGCCAGTCGCGCTACAAAAGAAGCAATAAAATACACGAAGAGCGAACGAAAAAATTGGCTTAAAGAAAAATTTCCCGAAGAGATGAGAAGAAAAAAACATCGCTGAAAAGAAACTGATCTTCTGAAGCCCATAAAATCAACACGTATAAGCAGTCTAAATGAAATAAAAGAGATAAGATTTAATTTTTTGTGTATATCTTCACGTTATTTTGCTTTTATTATTCGGTTTTTTCTTTATCTTTTTCGTATTCATAATTAAATCCATTTGGTTGGGGTTTATATGTGTATTTTTCTTTTAAATTAATCGAATTTCATCATTAAGTCAGTTATTATTACAGCAATATTCCATATACAATTATCATACATATACAACTTAAAAAGAGAACGTTAAATCTTAATAAAAACTATTTTTGTTTTTCATTTTGCTTTTTTTCGACAAGTTTTCTTTCTTTTATTTTATTTACAATAATATTTACTTTTATTTGTATTATTCCATTGCAATCATGTGAACTCTGATGGTGTGTGTATGTGTGTGTGTGTGGTAAAAATGAGCAAACACGCTCGCCTCTTGCAATTTCAAATCTATTTAAAAACAAAACTTAAACGCACTGAATAAAAAATTGAGATAAATTGACTTCGCTAAATCGATCAAAACTCAAAATAAAATGAAAATTAAATATTTGGTGAAAACTTCTTCTTCTTCTCCTTTGCCTACTTAAAATTCTTTTGCTCATTTTCTATTCACTAAACTATCATTGAACTCTGCTCTTTATCGGCTTGAAATCCTTGAAACATTCGTCATCATCATCATTTTCTTTTTCTTTTGTCATTTTTAAAACAAATCGATAATATCACAGAATAGACTTTACAAATGTAAGTTTTTTTTTTTTCTTTTTCGTTTTCATTTCAGAGAGAAACCGGACAAAATAATTCATATTGAAAAAATGTGTCACGAATATCTCGACTAATTGAATTCGTAATGTGTATGTTTGCTTTGAAAACTGATTACTTTTGTGTATGTGTTCACTAGGTGCTTCAAAATGATTGAAATGAAGAAAGAAAAAAAGAAACGGTTGAGTTTTGGGCTGCGCTGTGATTTCTCTCTTAAGGTTGATTGATGGCTGCAGCGGCGGCAGCTGCATTGAGTCGTTGTGAATACAAAGCGTACGGTGAATAGTATGGATTGTTCAATGCAGCTGGATTGAATGTTGCATAAGGTGAACCGGGCAGGGTGGCCGATGCAGCGGCACTTGGTTTTGCGTATGGATGATAACGAGCGGCCGATGATAGTGGGCTCAATTGTGGTCCAGTTGGATAGCCACGATGCAATGATGATGCAAGCGATAGTGAACCGAATGGATGCATTGAAGCGAGTGCTCTTTGTTGGGCTTGCATTAAAACGGCGGTTGCTGTTGGGTCGGATAAGTTTGGTGTATGTGTTCGTAAATGTTGAACCAATTCTTCGGACGACGAGCAACGTTTTCCACAGTATCCTTCGGCAACGATCCATGTGCACAGATATGGTCGATCGACGGGTGCGGCGTATGGATGATTTGGCTGTAGACCCGACATTGCCATGGCCAAACCATATTTTTGTTGTTCGCACTGTGTGCATCCGGCTGGACATGGGATGCCCAACATCATTTGTTGATTGTGTTGCGAGAATTGGCAACCGGTGCAGTATGGATCCTTGCAAATCGGTACAATTGTTTCGCCACCTGATGGAGTCTTGATGCGTGTATAACTAATGTATGGATTTTGTGTATTTGGTGGATAGCTAGCGGCTGCGGCCAACATAGCGGCATGATGATGGGCAAATCCATTTCCGAATGGTGGACGAAATGCTGGATTTGTTGCATGTTGTTCCATACCGGGTGGGCAACACAATGCAGCCAATGGATTCAAACCGAATGCATTCGGTTTGAATGCACCATTTGATGAATGACCGTGCAATACTTCCAATCCGGATCGAATGATTGGACTGTTGCCACGTTGTGATCCACTTGGTGATGTTGATTTGCGTTCGGAACCGTTGTTTGGCGTTTGTTTACCACCACTGCCACTTTCTGATTTTGTTTCACGGCTGTTATTGTTATTGTTCACTGCACTTAATTCGATTGGCGAGCTATTTGTTTTGCTACGCGATGGCACACGGGCACTTTGTTTTGTTTTCTCATCATAAACACTTCCATTTGTACTACTGGCTTTTGATGATGGTCGATCGGATGATGGTTGGTCACCGCTTCGTGTCAGCACATTTAATTCGTATGGCTTGAATGCTAATGGACGCACCTCTTGCGGTGATGTGTTTGATCGTGGTGTTTTCGATATGGTCGATGGTGATTTTGATGTTGAGTCTGATTTTTTATTTTTATCCAACGATCCAGAGCTTGGTTTTATTGCTGCTGTATCAGCACCAATTTGACTGCATGTTTGGGCTAATAGCGCCAATGGGCTTTTCTTTGCGTCCAACTGCAAAATTGAGAAAAAAAGGAAAGGAAAAGTTAGTTAAATGTTTTTTTTTGTTCTAAAAGAAAATCTTGTGTTGAAAGGAAAAAATGAATATTTCATGGAAAAAAATCGATTTTTGTCGAAAAATATTGAGTTTTGATTTTTTTTTCGTTGCAAAACATTTCAATGTGATTGAAAATTTTTACGAACTGTTGAAAAACTGAAAAATGTTCAAAAGTTCCGTAAATTCCAAAGAAGACATTGAATTTAAACTTGAAACTGTTAACTTCTCGAAAATGTGTTGAATTTCAATTTTTTTCGATATTTTCCACAAAAACCGATTTTTTTTTTCAATTTTTTCACAATTTCATCAAAAAAAAAAAATGCTCGAACAAAACCTACCGTAGTTGGAAGTGGTGATAAATAATCCGGTTGTAAATATTGTGTGTTACCGATGGTAACCATTGTGCCTGCTGTTTCTAAAACGACCATTTTATTCACAAAATATTCGTCGAAATCAATTTTTTCAACTTTTTTCTATTTTTCTCGCTGATAATTTGTTGATCAGTTTTTTTTTCTCTTCAAATATTTTCAATAAATTCACTTTTCAATTAATAGTGTTCACATCTACACTTGTGTTGATTTCTTTTTTATCAGAATAGTCCATATATTGAATAATTCAGTGGGAACTTGGTAGAATTGTATGTTCCTCTTCCGTATTTGTATATTTGAGCTGGTTTCAAAAATTCACTTTATTGAATGTGTGATTTTCTCTGGTGACGGCACAAGTAATTTGAAAAAGCGACCGATTTCGTCAACGTTTCAACTCGAACTGAGTGGCTGAGTGTGATCGCTCGTCGTGGTTCACTGTGACTTCGTTCGATTTTCCAACATGGCTCTCAGTTTACGAGTGTATGTACCAATAGAAATCATGCGCGCTATCCCTACCCCTCATTTTATTGGTATGTATGAAGCGCGCACACACATACGCACCTGTTCCACACAGTTCTGTGTGCATGAATATGTGACCGTTCAACGTGTATGCTTGCATGTATTGTTATTTTGAGTTGAGCTGTTGCTGTGAATGCAGTCAATTTGTGTATCGTCTCCTCCGTTAGTTCGTTCCTTCGTTCGTTTGTCGATCGAAAAACTGCAGCTAACGATAGAGGAGGCAGAAAACCCATCAATATGAATTTGGTTGGTGCGTTTCGTTTGATTTCATGACTCTAGTTATGATCTCTTCACTTGAACTAGCATTTTTTTTCTCTCTCTCTTCATCACTGGTTTTCTTCTTCTCGGCTGTCTTCTCTCTTCTCCTGCTCTATCTTTGTTGGTTGCACGTTTAGCCTCTTTTTATGATGCGTCTTCATTTGTAAATGTGTTAATTTTTTTTTGCCACCCATGTCGAGATAAATATGTTTGTAATATGTGTTCGCTGCTCTGCGTACGGGCCCCGCGAACGTCAAGCGCAAATATAAAACGGAAAGCGTTTCATCGTTGTTATTAATCTTTCGTTTGATCTTGTCCGCTTCGCGGAGAGATCTCAATGCGTCTTGTTATGTTAGGATGGCTATATGTTGCTTTTTTGTTTGTTTGTGCATGTCTCTCACACTCTGTTGCTCGGTTACTCCTCGCTCTTCGATTATTATTTTTTCGTATATGTTCGCTTGGCGCATTGTTTATTCGCCGCGCGGCTCGTCGCTCATTCATATATTACTTCTTTGTTGCTGATTTCTTTATTTCTTCTATATTTTTTACAATTGGCGAGACAAACGATTCAATTACAACTCATGTTCTTTGTTCGATGCTGCTGCTGCCAACTCGGTCTTTTTTTCTTACTTCGATTCTAATAAAACTAAGTAAATTTTACACACAAATAATTTATCTTTTGATATTTTCTGTCGTTTGCAATTCCGTAATGTCTCTATTTATTCGTTCCCCCTTTGAGTCGGCATCTTTCTTTCCGATACACAGCTCCAATCGCATTTATCAATTCGCGTATAAAATTGCAGAGAGCAAGAAGAAGAAAAATGATTCCAGTTGTGTATGCGATTTTCACGCAAGATCCCCAGTTCCTTGTTTATAAAATGCCGCGCACACAACGAAGCGCATTCTCTTTGAGTCGATGGGCTTTTCGGTGCGTGTTTAGTCTGGCGCTGAGAGTGAGCGCGGCGTATCGGCTCGATTTTTTGTTTTTTGCATTCAACTTGTCTAAAATGTAAAACAGTTCAATGCGTTTGTGATATATATTTTAAGCGCCAATGCTTTTTCGCATTCCATATTTTGTAAGCCAATGTCTCTCTCTCTGTGTGTCGGTCTCTCTCTCTCTCTCTCTCTCTCTCTCTCTCTCTCTCTGTGTGTGTGTGTTTGATGTATAATTCATACGGCAAATGCCGTCGAAAACATTTCTATTTATGAAATTCACATGAAATCCGGTATTTATCTGTTTACACAATGTACAATCAGTGATGCCATCAGTCATCGTGTAAAATACCATGTTTCAAAACGGCAGATTTTGAGCGGATCCAAAGCGGCAGCAGCAGCAACAACAAACAGCCCATAACAAAACCGAAGAAAAGACGAATTATGAGGAAATGAGAAAGAAAAATTAAACCATTGGCATTAACAACACACAGACAGTGATTAGTTCAAGTCATTTAAGCACAAACAAAAAAACCAACTAAATTAACGCGCATCGTTCACTCAAACGAATGCAAAGCGAAACGGAGAAATGCCCACCGAACAATAGATGTTTCGGCGTGCGCGAGTGAGTGGAACAATGTTGCCGATAATCACACTTGTGCCCGACTTAAATAACATTGTAATGCGTTGATTATGGTTATTAATTGTATGTTGAGCAAAAACGAAAATCCTCGCTCGTTTCAATAATAAAGCGCTTGACGAGAATGATAAATGCCCATTGGCACAGAAGAAGCAGAAGAAGCGGAATCGTCAATTCAACCACAGAGAATATCACCGTTCCGTCCAAAAAAACATGATTCACATAAATTCTTTGGCGCATCGACATAAATTAGAAATAAATTGAGAAGATAAATTTAATCAGTTTTTCTCGTTCGTTTCGATTACGAGATTATCCGAGATAGCCTCACAACATGCAGCTAATCAATCGCCACTCTGCTGCTGCTGCTGTGGCCGTTGTGACTTTGATGTTTTGTGGCCACATCAACACTGTGTATGTATACTGACACAAACTGTCGTGTTCGACATCGTGCACAGCCACGAAAAACCAATTCAACAAATTCATTTGTAAATGCACTTTGAAGCTCGACGTGATTCATCGCACCCAACCAACCAACCAACCAGATTGGATTGTTTGGCCGAAACGAATAATTTCTTCATTGGAAAATATCATAAATTTTGAGATATCGTAGTATGTGTGTGCGTGTGTGTGTCGGCTCAAAAATAGATTATGCATTTGATAAATTATATCCGAGAACATAACAAATCGCTTAGACATTGGAAAAAGGCATTAATTTAAATTTACTAGAAATTGTTGAAAACGTACGATTTGAAGAGAGAGAGAGAGAGAGAGAAACAATAAAAAGCAGCAACAAGATAAATAGATAGTCGCTCATTCAGCAAAATGTGTGTTCACGATGAAGAATCGACCAAATTGAATGAGTAAACGTAAACGATATGAAGCGGAGAGTGAGAGAGAGAGATGGCATGAAAATGAAGCAGGCATTGAGCTCGTGATGAATAAACTCATCCATATCCACACACCATCCAGCACAAGGGAGTGAAAAAGAGAGAGAAGAAGACACAAAAAACCGGCACTATAGTGATTCAAACATAACAGCAACAATAAGCAAATAAAAATGAATGTCATTAATCATTTTATTTTAATTTATAATAATGCGAGGTAATAATTCATGCAATCAAACAGCAAATAAAAAATCCAACAACAACAACAGCAACAGCAACAACGGCAATAAGCGTTGGAAAGAAAAAAATACGGCAAAAGAAGTTAATGGTGGATAGTTGATGTGTGTGCAGCCAGTCGATTAAGTATGTGCGAGTTGAAGAGCGATTGAGAAAGAGGTGGAAATGAGACGCAACACAATTGTTGTAGATGAGCATCTCTGATTTCAACACTAATCTATTTTTAATAATCACAAAACACTGAATTATATCGTTTAGTTGTTCGCCATCATTCGATGTACGCCAACCTAAGAGAAAGAGAAACAAACGAATAAGAAGAAGAAGAAGAAACACAACAACACGGCGTCAGACAGCAAACATTTAATCATTTCGAAGGGTAAGAGATAAGAAAAAATGAGCAACAATACAGAAAGAAACACATCGAAAAACAACCAAATGGAAGTTAAACTGACAGATTCCGTACACAAAGCGAGAGAACGAGAAAAGAGGAGCGCGCAAGAGCAAACGAGCTCTGAATCACGGGCTCAATCGAAAATGCCAAACACCACACAGCACACGTCTTATTAACGAGCATCGAAAAAGATTGGTAAATGCGATAGCAGAATAACACATGATGGAGCCGATTGGCAAGAGCCAGTCTCTCATTCACTCATTCACTCACTCATCCACTCCATCTTCGATTGAAGCGATGCAAAGACCGAAAATGATTTTAATTCAACTTCCATTAGTTGTTATTAAAATGTGTATAATGAAGATACATGTCAGCAATTAGCCTCTCTGATTTAACATCACAACATTATCCCATCGAGCGCGCACGTTCGTGCTCTTGCTATCGTATCATCTCTGGGGCGTGAGCGCGACCAACAAAACATGTACATGGCGATACACATTCGATTGCAAGTGATTTGTGAATGCCAATACATACGTTTAGTCCGAATTTGAACCGTTTTGTTGTGTGTTTTCTGCGGCAGAAAATACAAAATCGGTTTCGTTTTTGCATTAGCCGAAATAAATCAGGCGGCGTGATGTTGTACGACAAGTTAAGAAATAAGCCTCGATGATGAGCGCTCTGTTGTGGCCGATGTGTGTTCGAACCGCATACAACACCGACCGAGAAACAACCATAAATATCTGACATAAATAAACTATTGAATAGGTCGTGTTGTGTTGTGTTTTTGTGTGTGCGGCAAAAAAAAGAGACGAGTAAGTGGGCATCATCATCGTTCAGAACAAACGAACGCCAAAACGTGCACAATTCAAAACGAGCCAAACGCATGCAAATCATCAACAATGCGCGAGCGAACGCATAATGAAACACAAGCCGAAGCACACATCACACACCACGGTCACCACAAATGAGATAAATTATTAGCATGTTTCGAGAACGAAATGATAAAAAAAAAACAATCGAGATCCATCGAAACGGACAACAGCGCGCCAAAGTAAATATGTTTTGCATCATTTATGCACACAGCAAATCCAATCGACGATGGCAATTCGTTATTTTCGGTTTCAGTACGTGGCGTTTTTATGGTCTCGCTCTCTCTCTCTCTCTCTCTCTCTCTCTCTCTCTCTCTCTCTTTATCTTTTTCGTTCAAAAAGTATGTGGCGGGCGCGTTCCTTGTGAACAAAAAACGAGAAAAAAGGGGAAAAATGCAATAATAAAAAGTGCTTCGGCCAATTTATTTCATTTAATATATCGTCGTCAATGTGTCAGTGTTGCAGATTGTACGTTGGCACAGATCATGAGAAATTTATCCAGCGGCAAAAATCACGATTTTTTTTTCTCTTCTGCCAAACTCCATCGAAAGAGAGATGTGAGTAGGAAAAAAAAACCCAACCACGCACGAAAGACGAACGGAAAAAAATGGCTTAAAGAGCTTCAAGTGAATGAAGAGAGAACGATAAAAGCCAATGTGCGAAAATCAAAATGGCAAAGGCGAAAAGAGCACCACTCAAATTCAA